AAGGTTTCGAGACTAGTTTTTAACAAGCCAACAGATGGCAGCAAAAGGTTACACGCACTGTCACAGGGAGCACTGACCTTCATAAGTTAGTGTAGCAAAAGACATTGTCCTTTGTACATCGGGAGCTGTGCGACTGGTGTTTTTCTGACCATGTGCGTTACCACATCTACTATTTCATCATGGACAGTAAGTTAGAACAAAGAGCAAACATGAAAATTCTGCAGAGAAACTGAGCAAATCTGCCACAGAGACCTTTGACATGATTCAGAAAGTTTATGGCCATGCTGCAATGAGTCCTTCAAGGTGTTTTGAGTGGCAAGCGTGGTTCAAAAGTGGAAGAATAACACTGGAAGACGATGAGAGATAGGAAGACCTTCAATGAGCTCAAACCCCCGAGAATGCCCTCTTCCTGAAGATGAAGATCCAGCTCACAGGTCACAGTTTTGACAACATTGCAGAGATCCAGAAATTTGCCAGTTTCAAGCAGAATTTAAAATAGCAAATTCTGGGCAAGTCGCTGAATCTCTGCAATGTTGTCAAAACCGCCACCTTTGAGCTGCATTTTGGAAAAATAGCCATACCTGGAATTCAGCTTTAAGCACTCGTGTGCAAAGAATGTTGAATCAAACAAATAAAATGCAGCGCTTCATACAAGTGCTAAATAGTCTAAACAACACTGTCAATACCACATACAAACATCATGTGCAAACATGGGTACTGCTAACTCCCAGGCTTCCTGATGACATCCGGTGACGAAACACGTAGAGGTGGGCATTCCGTTTGCTTACATCACATCTGCTGACATCACTTGCTCTGCATGGAACATATGCTGGATCCCGTTTCTAAGGGAGCAGCGGCAGTTCCTGCAGCTAGTTTGGCTGGTCATACCAGTGCCGGAAAAGGCAGTTAAATATGTGAGTGCAATCGCATTTTGTATTTTATTTATATTTTATGCATATATCATACATTTTTAACACAATAAACTTTGTTGCGCAATATTTTCTGTGGATCTTTACCCCTCTAAGCAACATAGTAAGGTGAAAATACATATTTCCCCATGACCTCCCTGAAGTGGCGGAACCTTGGAAAGAATATCTCGGTGTTACACAAGGCGCATATTGACCTACTTATTATAAGGTGTCTGCAGCTGGTGAGTGAGCACTTCTTGAGAGGGTATTCAGGACCATGGGAGTTATGTGAAGGCTAGATGGGGGGGGATTGGGGAGGAAGGACCCTTCAGAATTCAGGTGGATTTACTAGTACCGCATCCTTTCGGAACATATTACAAGAAGAAAGAACAAAATAGGATTTTCACAGTACCACACCAAAAATTCTGTACAAAGAATTTTAAATTTTATTTATACATTAAAAAGTCATCAATGTCCTGTCTCCAGGGTATCACCATTTGTAATATGTTAAATAGGGTGTTGATTGCTTACATTTGTTCAACGTGTTTCACGGGACAAGAGCCTGCTTCCTCAAGAAGAAAGCAATAGATACATCTTTGTTGAGCAAAGCATATAGAAACCATAAAGGAAAAACGATCTCCCACTATTTATTACAGCTACTCACACTAGACAAGATGACTGCAGATATGATGGAGAACTTACTGGATCTCTTTACATAGCACACCCCATTCTCTTTAGCATCAACAGTCTACTGTATATACTTCTCCCACAAACACTAGTAAAAGGGAATCCTCCTAGAGAGAAATGCTGGATCACCGATCCTCAAACACCGTTTGAGCATGGCAGGTATGTGTTTGAGAATCGGTGATCCAGTATTTCTCTCTAGGAGGATTCCCCCTTTCGGTTTGAAGTTTTACTAGTGTTTTTTGGAGAAGTCCGGTCTGCACATATGGGTCTTTGAGATCTTCATCTATGGGATCAGCATAAAATGCTACCATACCAGTAGCTTTCTGGTGAGTGCATATCCATTAGAGGTGGTGGATTCCTTCACTAGATTAAGAGCACTATTTTGAGCATCCAACACTGGTATTGCTGTGCCTTGTAGTACCACGGACACTCTTTATACTCCGTTTGAATATTGGATGGACGTATATGTATCACATTAATACTGTTTTACACGTTTTATTATAATTAGGTGTTCACATTATTTACCTTAATACTTATTGATGACGTTTAATGTTTAGCGCTGCAGTCTACTCTATATAACTGGACTTTTGAAGAACACTATTTTTTTCTGCTATTAGAACATAGCGGTGTTGGAGTCCGGCTTTTTCCACCGTCATCATCCATTGCAGATCGTTTTTTCTTTAAGGTTTCTATGTGCTTTGGTCAGTATTCACAACAGAGATGTACCTATTGCTTTCTTCCTGAGGAAGCGGCTCTTGTCCCGTGAAACGCGTTGAAGAAATTTTAAGCAATCAACACTTTATTTAACATATTACAATTGGGGAAGATAATATGTGTTGTCATTTTCTGATGCTGTACCATGTAATGTATGTACTAGTACCATGTTAAGATGTATTCTTATCCAAGTACCAAGTATCTTATCCAAATATCCAAGTACCGCCCAGCACGCACACTCCGCTCCTCACAAGACCTCCTTCTCTTTAGTTCCCTGGTCTCCTCCTCCCATGCCCACCTCCAGGACTTCTCCAGGGTGTCACCCATCCTCTGGAACTCCCTGCCCCAACCCATCAGATTATCACCTACTCTCCTCTCCTTTAGGCGCACCCTGAAAACCCATCTCTTCAGGGAAGCCTACCCCACCTCCTGCTAACTTGCCAAACTCCTCCACTCTTCCTACCACTCCATCCCCCACAGCTATCTCCTCCTGTACCACTATCCCGTCCCTTCTAGATTGTAAGCTCGAAAGAGCAGGGCCCTCGATCCCCTCATGTTTTGCATTGTATTGGTATTGTTCTGTCACATGTTCTGTCCCCCTTTGTTATGTACAGCGCTGAGCGAACCATTGGCGCTTTATAAATACTGTATAATAATAATTCTTGATACCCGAAGACAGGACATTTTTAATGTCTATATGACTTTATACATGTATAAATAAAATTTAAATAGTGTTACACATCATTTTTGGTGTGGTACTGTAAAAATCCTATTTAGTTTCTTCTTTCTTTGAGGGTGGATTTTCTAGGAATACATTGATTTGAAGGGTGGATTACAGCGGCACATCATTAATTATGGAGCACGTTCACAGGCTGCTTGGAGCACTATTTATTGGATTACAAGTATATGGTTTTATGGTTTTGTGTGTTACTCACTTGCATTGACATTTGAAGGCAGTTGCCCACGGACTGTTAATAAAAAAAAAAAAAAAAAAAAAGGTTGACAGTTAATCCCAGAACTTTTTGCGCTTTGGGATTTAGCAGTATCCATGTTTTGCATGTTTTTATATGGTATTGGCAGTGTAGTTTAGACTATATACCACATATTTGAACTGCTGCTGTTTTGTTTGATTTTTGCATTATTCTGTATAATTGAGGCAGCACAGTGGCTAAATGGTTTCCACTACTGCCGCCTAGCAGTACTAGGATAGTTGGTTCAATTCCCGACCACGGCACCACCTGCCTGTAGTTTGCATGTTCTCCCTGTGCCTGGATTGGTTTCCTCCAGGTACTCCAGTTTCCTCCCACACTCCAAAGACATGCTGGTAGATTAATTGGATCCTGCTAAATTGGCCCTAGTATGTGTATGTATGAATGTAAGTTAGGGACCTTAGATTGTACGCCCCTTGAGGGTTAGGGACTGATGTGAATGCACAATATATATGTAAAGCGTTGTGTAAAATTGATGGTGCTATATAAGTACATGTGATAAATAAATAAATAATAATTGGGGAGCACAATAAAGAAGCAGCAGGGAATCTCACACTAGAACACCAAGAAGTGCAGGTACCACCAGATGATTCACTAGTGCACAGCATGTGAACCTGCTGAAGAGAGGGTGACTCTTGCCAGCGAAGTCCTGGACAGCAATAAAACTGCAATAAAGTTCCAACACTTTTGCATTCTATCCAAGACTAGAAAAAAAAGTTTGGCTAGAGATACATTTTAAAGACCCTCTAGGTAATCCATGGTGAACTGTTTACAGGCCAACACAAAAATCATCAACGGCAGTTAAAAGTCATAAGAGCTCAGGAGCTAATGTGTGGGAAGCACCAACATAGGAGACGTGGGGGTTGAATTACTAAAACTGGAGAGTGCAAAATCTGGTGCCGCTCTGCATAGAAACCAAACAACTTCTGATTTCAGCCTGTTCAATCAAACTTGACAATAAAACTTGGAAGCTGATTGGTTTCCATACAGAATTGCACCAGCTTTACACTCTCCAGTTTTAGTAAATCAACCCCATGGTGTTTTTTTTTTTCTTTTGCACATCGGCACCTGGATTTCGGCATATTTTGAAACCTTCTAACTAGCAAATTCTTGAACCTGTAAAATAACCACATAGCACTGTTGGACATGCATTTATGCCACATACACTGCAAAGTAGAGTGGTCAAATTCTTTATTAATACTTCGATCACCATTAAGACAATGATGGAGCAAGTTATGGCGGGTCTGTCACCCTTTAAGTTACTAGAACAAGACCCTTGCCTATTGCCATTGCTATACGCAGATTAAACCAGTGACATCCCAGGGTCCAGCAGGATCTACCAAGCTCCCCCTCCCCCCCTTTCCCCAACAGGGCAGGTGGTAAGGATAAGCTGTAAACACAGGTGAGGCAAGCGGAGGCTCAGTCGTTTTCACGGAAATAAAAATCAAATCCTCATTTACAGAGGGGCCCATACAATAACCATGAGCAACATAGCCGTAAGACGAGTTGGTTGGTTCTTAAGCCTGCAGTTGAGTATTCGCTTACTGACACCTTCAGTTGTAACTGACTATAGCGGGGGTACCCCACTTCATTTAATCAGTGAAGAATATCACGTTGTACCCGTTGTTTTACAACTTCATAATACATTCATAAGGGTTGCTTCTTTCCTTCAGATAATGCTCTGATCCAGCAGACTATAATATTAAGAAACATCTGCCCCCAAATTATAATAAGGGTCAATCTGTGGCCGGATGCCTCCCCCACACAGCGGGACAGTGTTGTCCAATCTTTGTCCTTCCACCTCCATGTCCAGAAGGGTCTCCTCCGCACCTCCCACCTGAACACCATCTGCAGATCCACTCGAGCTGGCATCCCCTCCGCTGCCGGGTGGAGATGAGCTGTGAGTCCGAGAAAGGGACACAAATTTCCAAGGGTCTAGTCTCGGGCGGCCAGCAGAAGGACGAGGCCTGGGGGCAAATTCTAGGGTGGTGGGTCTTTCAACGGCAGAATCCTTGTCTTGAAGTTTACGTCGCGCTGGAGGGGGGAATACAAAGCGAGGGTCTGGCAAAAGTGGGAACGGAGTGTGTTTCTTTGGAACCTATGGGAGAAAAACCAAAACAAGTTATTCCTACTAAACCAGCACAGATTGGGACAAGTAGATCAAACGCACGGCCAGGGGCGGACTGACCATTTGGAAACTCGGGCACTGCCCGAGGGCCCGGGGTCAGTAGGGGGCCCCATGAGATGCCCCTGGTACCTTTTTCATAGGCTTTTTTGAGTTTGGGCAAGGGCACAGGGGCCCCATGATCCCCTATTGCTCGGGGGCCCCATGAGTTGTCAGTCCGCCCCTGCGCACGGCTCATAGTGGACCCCTCAGTGATTTTAGATGGTCTAAGGGCTCACTTACACTTGCCTCGACTTTGACACACATTAATGCACCTACTGCTTTTTTTATGTGTTCTTGATGCTCCTGTGATGCTTTTTTGAAGCTTTAATGAAGCTTGGCAAATGCTCTGTGTGTGTTGACTTTTTTATTTGTTTTAAAGGGGCCCAGTAGAACCCTGGTTCAGTAGTACCCCTACTCATCAGATCTCCAGCTCATTAGTACTCCTGTTCAACAGATCTCCAGCTCATTGGTACCCTCATTCAGCAAATCACCTGCTCAGTAGTACCCCCAGCTCTGCTGATCCCCTGCTCAGTAGTCTCCCAGCTTTGCTGATCCTCTGCTCAGTAGTAACCCCCAGCACTGCTAGTCAACCACGTAGTACTAATCCCCAGCTCTGCTGATCCTCCTCTCTCTCCGGTTCCCGCTATATTGCTCCCACGTGTGACATTGCTAATTTCCCTTGCTCTGGTCTGCCAGCTCTACTGATCCTCTATCACTCAGTCCTCTCTCTCCCATCCCCGCTCACCCTCTTGCTATAGCGTTCCCATGTTGCACACCACGTGTGTCATCTGCTAGTTGCTCCACTCCACTCCGGACCCCACTCACCTTCCTGCTGCTCCACGCTGCACACCAGATGTGATGTCTGCAGCAAAATATATACACATGAACCAGAAGTGACTGCTCATGACATCTTTCCAGTTTGCTTGTTGGTTTCCCAGTGCATCCTGGGATATCTCATGCCTTCAATACCTCTGAAACAAAGTGACGCTAACTCTGAATAAAAGCCCCTCAAAAGCTGCAGGTGCTGTAAGCAAGCTTTGTCCTAGACTTCTATGGAGGCTTTGGACACACTTTGAAGCACCAAGAAAGCAACATGGGGTATAATTTTTGAAGAGAAGCAAAGCACAGCAAACACAATGTGTGAACAGGACTGTAAGCTTACCATTTTAATTAGTGACAGGGGCTTTGATTGGCATTCAGAGGGCTTTAAAAAAAGTGTGTCCAATGCCACATTTTGAAGCATGTGTAAACGAGCCCTAAATTAATACATTTCTGACATGTCGCAGTTTAGTGCAACAATACACTTTTTCAAAGAGGCTTTAGAGTGTTACTAACCACACAACAGTAAAATCAGTCTGTATATGCAGTAAAGCATGCTTGTTATACTCACTGTGGAACCTAAGGGGTTAATCCTCTGCATTGTGTAAAATGGCTGTGTGATCCTCACTTCTCTGATCCTCCCCTTCTACCAGTGTCTCCCTCTTATCTCCTGATAAGGCATATCGTTTGGAGACACTCTGCACATGCTCAGTTTAGTGTGTATTGCTACAGAGTGTTTGTTTTACTTGGGAAAGTGCATGTGATCAGCACAGGACCAATCAGCACTGTCCAGACAGAGGTAAGGTTTTTCATCCTCCTAGAGCAAAATGAAAACTCCTCCAACAAGCTGTAACCAGTGCTCTTCTGGACGCTGATAGAAGTCACAAGACTGCTCTAACTGCTGATGAGAAAAGGAATTTATCAGTTTATATTTACTAAAATAATTGCATTTCCATGTTGTGTGTACTGTGGGAGACCAGATATAGTGAATGCAGGGTCCAGGGAGACCAGATATAGTGAATGCAGGGTCCGGGGAGACCAGATATAGTGAATGCAGGGTCTGGGGAGACCAGATATAGTGAATGCAGGGTCCAGGGAGACCAGCTATATAGTGAATGCGGGGTCCGGGGAGACCAGATATAGTGACTGAAGGGTCCGGGGAGACCAGATATAGTGAATGCAGGGTCTGGGGAGACCAGATATAGTGAATGCAGGGTCCGGGGAGACCGGATATAGTGAATGCAGGGTGCGGGGAGACCAGATATAGTGAATGCAGGGTCCTGGGAGACTAGATATAGTGAATGCGGGGGTCTCCAGGGAGACCAGATATAGTGAATGCAGGGTGCGGGGAGACCAGATATAATGAATGCGGGGTCCTGGGAGACCAGATATAATGAATGCGGGGTCCTGGGAGACCAGATATAGTGAATGCAGGGTCCTGGGAGACTGGATATAGTGAATGCAGGGTCCGGGGAGACCAGATATAGTGAATGCGGGGTCCAGGGAGACCAGATATAGTGAATGCAGGGTCCGGGGAGACCGGATATAGTGAATGCAGGGTGCGGGGAGACCAGATATAATGAATGCAGGGCCCGGGGTTTAGTAACACTTTAAAGCTTGACTCTTTTACCACTATAAAGCCATCCTTGAGCTTTAGTCAAGTAACTTTGCCTAGGCTGAGATGGTGTCATCAGTCTGCTGCAGGTAGGGGGAGGAATTTTCTAAGTCTCCTCTCCCCCAGTCATCAGACTGTAACACAAACTTTGCAGCAAGCTGCAAGGTGAGAGGCTGCAGCAGGGGCTGATCTGTAGCAGACATTTTTGGACACAGCCAAGAATTGAACAGGAACCAGCATTTACATGATCATGTCATCCATGAGCCAGCATCTCTATCCAGGAAGTAAATCATGACCCTGGATAATGCCTTCGCAAAGATGGCACCATCCTTCTGGAGATTTAAGCATTTAAAGGCACTGTCAGGAGCAGTACTGTGATCAGTGAGAATTATTCAGTTAAACCTACACAATACTTACCATACATCCACTTAACATATAAAATATATCTGATGTTAGGTCCATTTTAAGCACATGCCTTTTTTGTGGGGCATAGATTTCTACTTGGGTTCTGTTGCTGTAGTAATATAGAACTATGAGGTATAGTAAATATATCTAGATCTAGTAATAGTGGTGCAGGAATATTCTTCATAACTCACCACTGAGGTTTACTGAACCATATAGGGAGCCTAACATTAGCATAACCATCGTGCCGCCAAGCAGAGGCAAGGCTGCTTAATGGATATGTGTACGTTCTCCTCCCTTTCTTCTTGCTGACCCATAAGCGACATGTATGACATCACTTTCGGGTTCCCCTTTTACTTTCCCTGGCCTGTATGGCTGAGGAAGAATCTAATGCAATGCAATATGCACTGCATTAGTTTCACTGGAGGACAGGTGAGACATCACGGCTCTTTTACACCCCTGGTGTCTATTTAAGAGAACCTGTCACCAAAATAAAAAGTTAAGTAAAAAAAATAATTTACACCCAAGTACATAAAATCACCCTTTAAAAATTTGTTTAAGGCCCCACTCACACATACATGCAAGCATGAATGCAAATGCACGCATCAGATGCACCTATGCACGAAAACATTGATAGGAATACACATCACCATACACACTGTATATAATCCTGGCAGCAGAGCTCCTGTGTAGCTTTAAATTGATGACTTGTAAGGGTTTTTAAAACATGCCCATGGAAAATATAGGGTATTAAAAGTTTTTGCCATTTCATAGGTGCACGCAATTTAAAGTTTGACATGCTGGGTGTCCATTTACTTGGTGCAAACCTCATCTTTTATATTTTAACAAAAAATCAGTTAATATATTGTTCTTGTGTGCCCTAAAATTAACTATATTGTATTTTTTTACTGAAATTTGGGGTTTCCTAGACCTTTGCGCTAACATCATGTAACATAAAAAATTGGAACTACCATCATTTTATTCTCTAGGGTATCTGCTTTCAAAAAATATGTAAAATATGTATGTTTGGGGGGGAGGGGGTTATGCAATTTTGGGGGCTAAAATTATTTTTTAAAACGTATAAAAAAAAAAAATGCAAAATGGCTCTGGCAGCGAAAGGGTCAAAGCTATATTCCATGCAAACTTCAAACAATGATTTTCTTTGAAAAAAAATCTGTTATTCTGTCCAGCCTGCCTTGTGCTCTAGGCACCACTTCTAGACCACACAGCCAGCATGCAGACCACACTTTTCTCCCCTGCTCTTAAGCAATACTTCATGGTCAAAAACCTGCCCCTGTCCTGTGATTGGACACTGCTCTTTCCACCAATATAAATGTGCAAACTGCTGACTGACAGTACCGTGCAAAGGAGTGGAGCTGTGATTGGCTCATAATGCTGCCCCAACTTCTGCTAGTATCAATGCTGCTGTGAATATGATAACTGTAAGTTTGATATCAGATTTAGGCATTTTCACTAATTGTATATAAAATACATAGAGAGGATTTAAAATGAATTAACAAACTACAAAATTAAGTTCAACTGTGTACCAGTATTGCCAACATAACAGAAAGAACAAATTACAGTGGCAATCGCCTAACCTTGGTGTGGCAGGATTTCATACTGACCGGTGTCACTTAGCTGTGGCGGTGTGCTGCCATCTGAAGGTGAACGCCGATGACCCGGTGTCACCTGCCGTATGGCCCCATCGGATGGCGTCCTTCTGTGACCCCTGGTTGCGGTGGCGTTAGCTCTGGTGGCTGTGACGTGAGTGGGAGTCAAGGACTGTCGGGGGTCCCTTTTAAAACTTTCCACTTTGTAGTCCACTAGCGGGTTTCGGCCAGGGGCAGCCTCCCTACTAGGCTCCTCGTCTGTGAGTTGCCCTCGGGGCACGTGATCATTGGTCAGTCCAGTGTCATCACTATCTGAGCATATAAGGGACCTGGTGGAGTTACAGTCTGAGATGGAAGACAATGAGATGAGCGTGACTGAACTGGTGGGGATGACTGACTCCTCTTTAGACAAGGAGTGACTGGGAGAATTACCGCTACGCTTCATGCCCCTTGCTGCCCATTGGAAAATGCCCTTTCTTTTCTCCTCTTGGGGCACTAACTCTGCTAGATCACTGCCGAGTGCAACAGCTGCCAGAAGAGATGCGCATCCCAGTAACACCAGTTCACTCTTTCTGCGGGACTGGGAGTTGCGCTTGGGACTGTCCGAAGATGATGCTGCAGAAAGGCTGGAGTCTTCATTATTACTCCTGGCATCGGACTGGAGAGGCAGAGAGAGGTAGGACTGAGTGGAGTACGGGGATTGGGGAACTGAGCCTTCATTATCCGCATATTCCTCTGGAATGAGAAAACAAAAAGGTTAAAATGAACTGGTCATGGCAGATGTATGGGTGCTAATAGCACATATCAGAAGAGAAAGAAGGCGCTTCTAAGTGCAGTACATTCACTTGTTTATTGGTAAAAATGGTTAAAGAGCTGGGAACATGATCCATCACTTCCCCTTGTACCAGCACCACTCAGTGTACACCAAGCACATAGCTAGGCACACAATTAACCCTTTGATCACCCTAGATGTTTAACCCCTTCCCAACCAGTGTCATTAGTACAGCGATCAGTGTATATTTTTAATAAAATATATATAATATATAAACAGCACAAATCAACCTACTTACCATATAAACAAAATTATATTCTAAAAATTGTGATAAATTATATAGTGATAATAATGTCCAAAAAAAATATATATAAATTTGTGCAAGAAATTATGTATATCACATAAATAAAAGACTGCCGTCCATATGCAGAGCCATACAAAGCAGTGTGCAGGAGCTGACAGGGGAGTGATCTGTGTGACTGACTGCCGAGCCCGCAAATGGCGGCACGGGTAGGGCGCGTGCACGCCCCCTACCCGGGACTGCAAGATCACGTATATATACACATAATTTTGCACACCCGTCCTACCCTGTAGCAGTATTTCTGCTATAGGGCAGCACGGATCCAGTTAAGAACAGGCTGAACTTCACTCAGCAAAATGGCCAGCTTTAGACATGACTATATGCAAAACTAAGTCTGACCACTAGAGGGGGAACTTATTACAGAAACTGCAAGCTATTAGTCTGATTGTAAAGTCCCGCCCACAGGACGAGAATATTGGATGACGAGAATATTGGATGACGAGAATATTGGATGGTGAGAATATTGGATGACGAGAATATTGGATGGTGAGAATATTGGATGACGAGAATATTGGATGACGAGAATATTGGATGAATGATCATCCTTTACTTTTGCATGCCAGTCTCATATCAAAACTGAAGAGGTTACTAAAGTTACGAAAATTCTTGTATGACAGAAAGAAAATTCGGAAGTGATGTATTGTATTGTATTTTCGGATGAAAACTGTTCTGATTAAATGAAAATCGTACAATCTAATATCCTACGAGAAAAAGGTTTTGTGCTTGTCCCTTCAAATAATTCCAAATGTTGTGCACTAAAAATCAGATTATCGCACGATTGCGCTATTTTTCATACGATTTTCTGATCGTGTGTACTAGGCTTAAGACAGATCCACGCACAGCACCTGTTCTGCATGGTGCAATATTTTACATACACAAGTCATTCCTTAAATCTGCTTAATGGATATCTGTCCTTCATTTAGTGTATGAATCTTACCCATTTCTGTTAGACTTGCAAAACCCACACTAATAGGCGTGTGCTTAGGTGACTTCCCGAGGTTGGTTGGGGCGCTGCTAGACCATTGCTTGCTGCCTTCTCCAAGTGCCTTCAGCCTGTATGGAGGACAAAGAATGATTTAATGTACAGGATAGAAGCAGGTGACCATATCATAAAGACACAGAATTCTACTTGTTGTCAACTCATAGGAAGACTCCCCTTTCCCATCATGGGGTCTTTTGGTAAATAATGGTGATGGTCTAGGGCAGCCTTTCTCAACCTTTTCAACACAGAGGAACCCTCAATATAACTTTCTGGACTCCCATTTTTTCCAGTCTCCCTGCTATTCATGATACATTAGTGTGATGGTCAGTGGGAAGAATGTACCTTACACTTGTGGTCAGTGGGAAGAATGTTCCTTACACTTGTGGTCATTGGGGAGAATTGCCCCCCCTTATAAATAGATAAAAAGATCAATGAGGTCTGTGGGAATTTGTCTGAGAGGCAGAAATTGCTCATTGCTTACAGAAATCTGTTTTGGAACCATGCAGTGGGGCTGTGCCTGCACTGCATGGGCTAACTGCTTGTTTTTGTCCAGGGGTGATAGCAGTGAAGATATACTTACCGAAATCGTCATTCCTTGGAGCTCAAGACCGGTCCCTGACGCTTTTGCCAACTGCACACTAGCAGTCTTGTGAATGGACTGTTCCTGACGTCATCACGCCCATAGAACGACTCTGGGCATGAGGATGGCAGGAACAGTCCACCGCTGGGCATGGGGTAGCGCAGTTTTCTGGAGGATCAAAGGATGGGGTATAGCTCTTCCCTAAACCCCCGGACAAAACGAGCAGCTATCCCATGCAGTGCGGGCACAGCCCCACTGCATGGTTCCAAGACGGATTTCTGTAAGCAATGAGCAATTTCTGCCTCTCAGACAAATTCCCACAGACCTCATTGATCTTTTTATCTATTTATAAGGGGGCAATTCTCCCCAATGACCACAAGTGTAAATGGGAAAATAAAAAAAATTGACATCGAGTTCTGCTTTAAAGTGGAACTATAGTCAAAAAATTAAGTCCTGTTAGATCTTTTCAGGCTGACCTGACTTTTTTGCAGGCTGACCCCTTTTCAGGCTGACCTCTTTGCTATGTAAAACATTAAAAATAAGTGTCTATATTGTTTAAAATCCAGTAATACACAGTCACACCCTGCTCTGCACATGCTCAGTTGCTCTTCTTTTTTAGGCATTTTTTGGCACTGTAGAATGTGTAGAGGCTGATATGCTGACAGCCTTAAAGCAGAAATAAACCCTCCTATCCTTTACATCCAAGGCAGCTGCTTCTGTTTGATCTGCAACTGCCATGGTGCTGCATGTGATCAGTTATGACACCAGCCTTTTGATAGTTTGACAGTTTAGTTGAGGACACCAGCAATTGTGACAGTTAGCAATTCCGTCATTCCAGGAATTTATTTTTTTTGTTAAACCATTAAATTGATGGGTTTAGTTTCGCTTTATGATTTACTGCTGCTCAGGAGCTCTGGGCTTCATTAAAATGGCAGCCTCCAGCAAGAAGAAACAGGAGCAATGCTGGAGGCAATTCACAGCACACACTAATTGGTGGCATAAATATTAATGTGGAATACATGTTCCTTGCTAAAGAACATTATTTTTTTTTTATCAAATTGTTCTGGGTAAGGGTTCACATAAGGGAACCCCTAACAAACTCTGGAGGAACTATGGTTGAGAAACTCAGCTCTAGGTTGTCATTAGTTCCCTAAAGCGTCCTCTTTTATTCTTAAAAACGTGGCTGCCTCACCACAGCTATTGTGTAAATCCCCGCTTCACACTTGTTACAACCATGCCCATTGGTGGGTGACAACAAACAAATATAGCGCCATCACATTTATGCAAGAAATCCCAGACACCAGCACTCCATTCATCTCCACAACTCATGATAAATCTTCAGAAAGATTCACCCAAGGTATTCTTCTTGTCTTTACACTACTGTATTAGATTGAGGAATCAGCACCCTCTGATTCCTCTTGCACAAAATTGTATTGTAATTGTACTGTCTACCTTCATGTTGTAAAGTGCTGAGCAAACTGTCGGCGCTATATAAATCCTGTATAATAATAATAGATTTAAATACATTGCAGGACTGCAGATATGATTGGCAAGCTGGTGATATAGATTTTTAAGCAACATATGTACGGACAGCTTCCATTAAGATATATTCATATTATATATAAATATATCATGACATAATTTGGATCGCTTCTGTGCTTGGGTACCTGCAGTTGGTATGAATACATTTGTCTCGTGTACAGGGTGGAGTGAAAAAAAAAAAAAATTATATATATATATATATATATATACACACACACACACATCTATATACACAGTATATACACTGCTCAAAAAAAAGAGAGGAACACTTTGAAAACACATCAGATCTCAATTGGGGAAAATCTCATGCTGGATATCTATACTGATATGGACTGGGTAATGTGTTAGGAACGTAAGGATGCCCCATCGTTTGATGGAAATGAAAATGATCGACCTACAGAGGACTGAATTCAAAGACACCCCGAAAATCAAAGTGAAAAAATGATGCAGCAGGTTATTCCATTTTGCTGAAATTTCATTGAAGCAACTCAAACTGGTCCTCAGTAGTTTGTATGGCCCCCATGTGCTTGTATGCATGCCTGACAATGTTGGGGCATGCTCTTTATGAGACGACGGATGGTGTCCTGGGATATTTCCTCCCAGATCTGGACCAGGGCATCACTGAGCTCCTGGACAATCTGAGGTGCAACCTGGAGGCGTCAGATGGACCGAAACATGATATCCCAGAGGTGTTCTATTGGATTTAGGTCAGGCAAGCGTAGGGGCCATTCAATGGTATCAATTCCTTCATCCTCCAGGAACTGCCTGCACACTGTCGCCACATGAGGCCGGGCATTGGTGTGCACCAGGAGGAACCCAGGACCCACTGCACCAGCATAGGGTCTGACAATGGGTCCAAGGATTTCATCCCGATACCTAATGGCAGTCAGGGGGCCATTGTCTAGCCTGTAGAGGTCTGTGCGTCCCTCCATGGATATGCCTCCCCAGACCATGACTGACCCACCACCAAAACGGTCATGCTGAACGATGTTACAGGCAGCATAACGTTCTCCACAGCTTCTGCAGACCTTTTCACATCTGTCACATGTGCTCAGGGTGAACCTGCTCTCATCTGTGAAAAGCACAGGGCGCCAGTGGCAGACCTGCCAATTCTGGTGTTCAATGGCAAATGCCAACCGAGCTCTATGGTGCTGGGCAGTGAGCACAGGGCCCACTAGAGGACGTCGGGCCCTCAGGCCACCCTCATGAAGTCTGTTTCTGATTGTTTGGTCAGAGACATTCACATCAGTGGCCTGCTGGAGGTCATTTTGTTGGACTCTGGCAGTGTTCATCCTGTTCCTCCGTACATAAAGGAGCAGATACCGGCCCTGCTGATTGGTTATGGACCTTCTACGGCCCTGTTCAGCTCTCCTAGAGTAATTGCCTGCCTCCTGGAATCTCCTTCATGCTCTTGAGACTGTGTTGGGAGACACAGAAAACCTTTTGGCAATGGCACATATTAATGTGCCATCCTGGAGGAGTTGGAGTGCCTGTGCAACCTCTGTAGGGTCCAGGTATTGCCTCATGCTTTGACCCTAGCCAAATGCAAAACTAGTGAAAAAACAGTAAGAAAAGATGAGTAGGGAAACAAAATGTCAGTGGCCTCCACCTGTAAATCCATTCCTGTTTTGGGGGTCGTCTCATTGTTACCCATCTAGTGCACCTTTTGCTAATTTAATTAATGCCAAAGCATCTGAAACGGATTAACAACCCCTCTGCTACTTAACTGACCAGATCAACAGCCCAGGAGTTTAACCCCTTGACGTCGATGTCACACAAATATGCGGCCTCACAGAACTGGGCTTTTTTCCATATTTGCATGCCTGTCCTTGTGCTGGGAGCGCACCGCACAGCGCACTCCCAGCACAAAGACCGGGGTGTCACTGAGAGGCCTAACGATCAGGACCCGGGACTCCCGCTTCTAACGATTGGGACCCCGGGACTCCCGATTCCGGGTCACATGATCACTGTGATAGCCTTTGATTGGCTATCACAGTGATCAGTCACTGTACAGCCCGCCCCCCTTGTTTTTTTTTCTCTCTATGAATGGAGTAGAGAGATACATTGTACCTCTAACTCCTGGCATAGAGGGGGAAAAAAAGTTTAAGAAAAAAAAAAAGATAAATATATATTAAAAAATAAAATAAAAAAAAAAAGGAAAAAATATGTAGATCAAGGTTTGATCTAGTTCAGTGCCAGGGTAAGTGTTTGGGTCAAGGTCAGGGTCAAAGGTCAGGATTTTTTTTTTATTATTATTATTGTAAATGTACATAAGGATTAATAATGGAAACACGGTTTCAGCACTTAATCTTCTTTTATTAAATCCATGAAAATTATCAACGCATATCTGTGAAATGGCATTTTGTGGCTATGCTTTGATGACATAATGCAAGAAAAAAAAAAAAGAAGAAAAGAGTGCTGCAACCCCACTGTCATGACTACTATATATTAGGGGTTTTAGATTTATTCCTGTCACTGGACAAAGGGTGATAAGGCTATAAAATGTCTACACACCCCTGTTAATAATGTCAGGTTTCTGTGATGTAAAAAAATTAGATAAAGATAAATCATTTCAGAACTTTTTCCACCTTTAAATGTGACCTATAAACTGTACAATTCAGTTTAACAACAAACTGATCTTTTAGATAGAGGGACGTTAAAATAAAAAACTAAAATAATATGGTTGCATAAGTGTGCACACGCTTAAACTAATACTTTGTTGAAGCACCTTTTGATGTGATTTCAGCACTCTGTCTTTTTGGTATGAGTCTATCAGCATGGCACATCCTGACTTGGCAATATTTGCCCACTCTTCCTTGCAAAAATACACTCCAAATCTGTCAGACTGCGATGACATCTCCTGTGCACAGCCCTCTTCAGATCACCCCACAGATTTGCAATCAGATTCAGGTCTGGGCTCTGGCTGGGCCATTCCAAAACTTTAATCTT